CTGGCATTGCTGCCACAGGCCGTCATCTCCACTGATCACCCGTTTGTTACAGGATTTAGGTTTGCTCAGAAAATCCCCTGAGACAGACATACATACACATACACAACTAACACACTCAATTCTGATTTCCAAGGAAGTAAGTGTGAGTGTGTGTTTCACATCATGACGTTAAGCAACAAATATATTTAGAAAAATACCCAGAAACACACAGAGTGGCACTGATGACATCAGATTTAATCTGCAAAGGTCCCTCAGGGACACCAAGCCTTCTTCTTAGTGACTGTTTTTCTCTCTTCTCCAACACATGCTATAATACATAGAATGACATACACACAAACTCCCAGTAAGGTATGATCTGACAATTTTCAGGTCAGAAGACATACAGGTTAAAAAAGAACTGAATGTAGTTTTAAAAAATCAGTCTTTTTAGACTTTTAAGCCACATTATTTACAATGTATTTCAATATGAAGCAGGACTCAGTCACACCACTTATTCTGAATTTCATTAAGGCTTTGTGAATTAAAATCCTTCCAAAAGGTCTTAGTAACTGCAAGCTTCAAACTAGTGATTAACTAAAGCGGGTTGCACCATTAAAACTTGCAAAATGTACAAGTAAAGACTTTAGTAATGTGTAAATTGGCTGGGAAATATCTGTAACACCAAGTCCTTCACAAATATAGACATGACTTTGTTTTACTGATATATATACACACATGGAAAATTGTGCGTGTTTCAGAGTTAGTAGTATTCATGCTCATTAGTAGTATTCATTCTGTTTAGAATGAGTGGGGGATATCAGATTATGCTAACCTAGCTAAACATATTAGGTCATTAGGTAAGTGAATTTAATAAAAAAAATAAAAAATTCTTCCCAGTTTACATCATTCTTTTATTTACTTATTATATATTTATTATGAGTGTCAGGTGCCATTTTTCATACTATCTCTTTTACCCTTCACAATTACAACAATTACAATTACACTTAGCAGTTCAGAGGTGTAAATAATGTTGTTAATACTTATCTACTTTAGAAGTCATTTCTGAGGTGTAAACCATTTGAATTCAATCTCTACTCTGTAAACACTTGTGTCATAACTTGGCTAAGTTTGAACGTATAAGCTGGTGCAACCGGCTCAGGTCATTAGGATACATTAAAAGCTTATATAGCTATAGCTATACAACCTCGATATCTAAAAAAATACAACTTCAAATTTAGCTCAGTTTTAACCTTGACCCCCTAAATGTATTTTCAACCCGCAAATTACCAAAACCATTCTTACTGGGATTCTAAATGAAATAACAAAAGCACTCTGCATTCATATGACATTCATCCATACAAAAGAAGACCCTGATACCAGAGAGGACAGACAGAGAGCGCAAGAGGTTGTTCCTGCCTGAAATTAAAGGCGCTAACAGGACCCAGCTGAAGGAGGTGGAGGTCATGGACAATACAACCATTGAAGCTTTCCTAGGCCTGTACTGCTTTGGCATCCCTGCCCTCAGAGACGCAAACCCACAGGTATTCACTGGTTTTAGAGGCAGATTTCCCTTCAAATGAATCAATGGAAACAGCGTATGGAGAGACTTGGCATTTTTCGGTTGCCACCCATTTCATCACAGGAGGTAGTGAAAGCTCCCTTTCTTCAGTTAACTGACCTCACTAAAACTTTCAGCAGGTAATATGTGTGTGTTTCGGCTGCTGAACTCTCTAAGTAAGGCCAATTGGCTGCTAGCATTGCTAAGCCTGAGAAGATGAGAGCTTGATCAGTTAAACTCAATGTGATCTTCATTCAGCTTTCCACAGATCTGATATTTCTCCCACCTTCCTCCTACTGCCAGTATGTGAGCAATATTTTGATTGTTTTGCAGGTTTCATTTGGTTCATTTTCTGGCTTGGCTATGAACGTTTGCCCTTCTTTAAAAATCCATTTTTGTGTTGGGATTTTTTCTTTACTATTTCAGGAGGTTTGCTTGCATGAAAGATGAATAATTGAGTCATGGTGATGTGAAAGAGACTTGTCAGTCGGCATGAATGATCAAATATTCGACGTAACATTGCAGCGCTCATGTTTCTTCAATTCACTTCAAAAATGAAAAGTTGGCAGCTGAAGGTTTTGCCTGCAAACATGTTGTTTCACTGTTTTTTTTCATGAGCCTAGATTTCACTTGCCAGGCGTCTCCACTTTCCCACTGAATGACACTCAAGGGAGATATCTTTATTTTAATCTTTCACTCATTTTGTCATTCTGTTTTTCCGTCGCAGAGCACAAAGGCCTGATAATCTCCGCTCAGCATGTAAACTTTTTTTATCCGGACCCCCTCCCCGCATTAAATAAACAAAACACACCATGAAGCATTTACTATTGTTGTTAGCATGCAAGAGAAGAGAAGAGAAGAGAAGAGAAGAGAAGAGAAGAGAAGAGAAGAGAAGAGAAGAGAAGAGAAGAGAAGCTGGTGTGACTCCTCGACAGAGAGGCAGTGGCGTCTCCAGACTCAGGTCGACCACTGGCAGGAAACATCTTTCTTCTTCGACCCAGTCTGAACGTTATCTCAAGCTCCTCATACGCGCACACCTACCGCTGAAGGCGAAGCAGCCTCAAGGTATACGAGTAAACATCAAGCGTGTGTGTCTTTGTGTGTGAGCCTGAGCCCGTGTGTTTCTGTTACGCAACGGGAGAGTTCTTCCCATCTGTGCCTCTCTGCAGCCCCCGCATCCCTGACCAATGAAGCGAGAAACGACAGCTCTGCCTTGCACTCTGCCTCCCTCAGTCTTCCTCACAACGCCGTCCCACTCGTCATTATTATCATCAGCCGCCCACCAAAAACACACTCTTGACTCTTCCTCCCTCACTCGCTAGTCGCTCTCTCTTTTTTTCTGGCTGGCATAACCTATTACACCAGCGGCGCCCAAAAAAGATGATGCAATATTCATGGTTATCATCACCTTCACTGTCAACATCAACCCCCGTCTGCCCTCAGCTTAAACCCCAACTAGAAAACAAGACCACTCTGCAGGGAGTCAAACCAACATTTTACTTCTTATGCTTAAATTCCAGATTATCCCACTAAATGGATCGCTGTCTACAACACCACCACCACCGCCACCCCAATCCTCCATCTCTGTCCCTGCTCTTCCGGCTCGCCTCACTCCCCACAGGGCTCATTGTTGTGGAAAAGATGTTAAAACAAAGAGAGCAGACAGTGCAGTGATAATCCTAAACATAGCAGCTGGGGAATTAGCTAGCCATTTGCCGGGGACTCGCACACTCTTGATTGTTGTTGGACCTAAGAATGTTAGCATTGCTCTCTAAATTGTTAATGGTGTTTGCCTATTACTTGCCATTAGGGAGGGAATGGTAATTAAAAGGGAAGATGCCTTTCACGTTCACCGCAAATATGTCCGAGATGGTTTTCCGGACAGGATGCGATCCTGCGCTTTGACGATAGCATCCTGTCTGGAAAAACATTTTAGCCGATTCCACTAGGGCCACTGTGTCAGTAGTTCTATTCGCATAAATGAATTATAGATGCACAGAGACCGGTCCTCTGTTCAGGATATTTAGGCAATGAGAGGTATCAGGTTTCAGACAGTAATGCTACCCAGAATGATGACAGTAATACCTTCAGCACTGAGGCACATATTACAGCAACATAACATTGATTAAATTAGGCCTTCACATTTCTGAAATTAGCTATAACTTCATTGTACAGGCAGGTAGGCATCTATGGTCGGCATATCATGTGCACCTGTGTGTCTTCTTTTCTGCTTACACACTTTCTTTCTTTCTCTCCACTTTTACTATCTATCTGACTACCTCTTCCCCTCTTTCCAGTTCATCCTGGCACACGAGCAGGTGTGTGATGCCAGCAATCCTGCTGCCTGTCTGGTCCAGCAGGGCACCAGTCCCAAAATCTGTTACAATACAGCGGGCGCTAAAACACTACTCACATCCATAGCAGAAAACCATAGAGAGACAACACACGCCGTGTCTAAAAATGATGTCAAATATTTGAGCTACCTGAGCAGTGTTTGGTTTTAGCTCTTGTGAGCTCGCACAGCCACTACAATGGAAAACTTCACAGAGGAATTACAGTAAACTAAGCCCTCCTAATGTGCTTCTTTGTGCAACATAGTCTGCTGTTGTTGTGCTTGAGCCCGGCAGCTAAGGTAGGCAGTGCCCATGTCTTTAGCTGCAGGCTGCACATTTATCTGCTCGCTGCTGTTCTATTACAGGTGCCATCGCTCAAAGGCTGCAATTTAGTGGTTAGGGATACTGCAGATAATTGTTTGGAGAGATTACAGTGGATTTCTTTTGTCCTGGTCTGTTATATAAGCAAGAAAATAGTTTCAGCTTGAGGTCTGGGGGCTTGCCTTCTCCTCTCTCACACTTCAGACAGACGGAGAGAGAGACAGGCAGGCAGACAGACACCTGTGATTGGAATTCCATACTAAGAGCCGCAGGAGTCGTCTGAGGAAGGCTAGACCTGCAGTTTCAACTCAGACTGACCGCACTTATTGTTCACCCACCCGACTGACATTCCAGGAATAAGCAGAGGTGGATCTTTCATCTGTCTCCCACGCAAGGCCTTCCAAAGGACACACAGTCCAGCGTGTTTGCGTGCACACAGTATCAATCACTTGAACATTTGGCTCCTTTGTGGTTTTTAAGAGCGAAGACTATTACGTGAAGAAGAGGCAAAAAATGCTCAAGAACAGATGCCAACATAATTCCAGCATGACTAAATTACACTCATTCACTCAGGCTTTCACTCAGCTTTCCTTATAGTCCATAAAACACACACACACACACGCACGCGCACACACACACACTCACACACACACACACACACACACACACACACACACACACACACACACACACACACACACACACACTCGGGCACACTTGGTTTCTGTGTGGGCTATGAAATAACCTATACACTCTAGCCCACCTGCTCTCCACCTCAACAAAGATTAAAGACAGCATCCTCCACTCACCTAGGTGGTCTCCATGGAAACTGTTGTCATGGGATGTTCTACCATGGGGCAAGAGGTCATGATGAGCAGCAGGTGGCCAGATTTGACCGGTCTTGCGAACGCTCACAATAGTGGCCTCAGACATGACCACATGGCCTCCCTGTTGCCGGTGGTGACGCTTCTGGGACTGCGGCGTCGGAGGGCTGCTGCTGTCAAGGGAGTGCTGGGAGTTCTGGGAGTTCTGGGAAGGCGAGCGGCTCTTCTCTCTGAAGGGCCGGCGGAAGGCCGTGGTGGGGCTGGGTGAGACGTGGCTGGACTGGCCTGAGGAGAAGTCCTCCTCGCTGGACGTCAGGTTCTCGTTGGAGCTACAGTCCGGCGTGTAGCCGCCGCCTCCACCGACATCCTCAAAGCTACCTGGGGAATATGAGCGACGTGGCCAGGTCAGGAGGTGGTCGTCACCTCCCCCATGGTCTCTCATAGTGACTCCACTACCACCTCCACCACCACCTCTACCATCTCCACCACCACCTTCACCCATCATCACCCCACCAACATAGACGCTGGAATAAGCCTGGAAATCAGAGGGTTGCCAAGGCGGGGGTGGAGGTTTGCCCCCGTTGGCCCTCCCTGAATGTCTCTGGTTGGGCTCTCCATCTTCATATTCTGCGTCATAGCCACAGGTGCTCTCAGTGGAACGTCCTCTATAGACTGGCCTGGCGCGGAGCTCCCCAGCCACTGTTGCCAGGTTACCTGGGAGGGAGTGAAGAGATCTCTTTCGCTCCATCTGCATGGCCTGGCTGCCCAGGGTGCTGATCTTGTCAGAGACGTCACGGTCATTGACCCTGACCAGACCCCTCTCGTGGTGGAATTCCATATTGGTGTAAAATGGCGGTGGTGGCGGGGGCAGCTGCTTCTCCTGGCCCTTAGCTACATCACCCGCAGAGTGAGAATTGGCCCGTTTGATCCTCTCAAAGTTTGATCTAAGAGCTGCCACGCCAAGTCCCATCCCGAGCTTGTCCTTGGGGTCAGAGGGCAGCTCCTTTTCTGGGGGTGGAAGGGTGGGCCTGCGGGGAGAGACGGTGATGCCGCTTCTCTGCTTGGATGGGGAAAGGCCATCCAGGTTGTCGCAGGACGTCGACTCAACTTGCTGGGGTACATCGAAGGCTGACTCCAGGCCGTCTCCGTGGGAGGCTGACTTCCTGGCTGGTGGAGGTCTGGGTTTGGACCTACCAGCTCCATCTCCAAGAGGCTGGAAACGGGCCCTATCCATACTCCCAGCACTATACCCTCCACCACCTACTACTACTCCGACCCCACCAGTCTCCTGCATGTGTGGCTGCTGGGACTGGGACTCTGCGCCCTGTGTGGCAGGGTCCATCCCCTCGTTCAGCGGCGTCTTCCTGAAGCCCCACCGCTGCTTGTCGTAGCTCTTCCTCTCTTTGGCCAGGAGAGTCTGCAGGTAGATCATGCGGAAGCGCTCCTTGTTCACCTCCTGCTCCAGGCGCCTGATGGACGCCTTGCACTTCTCCAGCTCCTGCTCGATTCCACCGACTGACCGCAACTCCATCTTGGGGGGCTCAGACTCTGGGAACTGCGCCTTCCATGCCTCAATGAATCCCACCGGCTCCACCATATTGTGCCTAATTTATTTCTGTGACCGACCCTGATTCACACACAGGGGGGTGGGGGTGGTGGGGGGTGCAGATGCCGAGGACGCACCGTTCGTCCCTTTTCAGTCCAGTTCGCGACAGAGTCCGTACAGACAACAATGTCCACCTCCAGATGTAAAGCAGGGACAGTGTTTATAACAGGCCTTTAGGTAACCCGTTCTGAAACACACAGTCTAATTGCTGACACTTGTCGTGGGTTGCGCAGTCGCAACAATACATCCCAGTCTGAACAAGAGAAACCGGCTGTTCAGTCAGAGGAATAACAGGGAACGTGTGTGAGAGAAGAAGGAATAAAAAACTGTAGCAGAGCTTGTCTTTCTCATGCATTATTCCGGAAAAGGCCACTTTCAGAAGAATTAAAAAAAAAAAATCTCAGCCTCGACACAATGACAGCAGCTGTCTTCGCGGGTGATCTGGATCTCAGGGAGAAAAAAAAAAATGAAGAAAGTGTTTATATCTCGCAGAGGGTTACTCACTGTCTGAGTGTGCCATTCCAGGTTTAGCTGGTCCGTTCACTCTTGCCCATTCATATGGCGGTAATCCCAGGTGGTGGTGCTGCTGCTGCTGCTGCTGCTGCTCCGGACCGAGCGCCTTTGTACCAGCAGCGCTCAAGGAGAATGGATAAAAAAGCGCAAAACACAAGCGACGACAACATCTGAGTTTCTTAGAGGAGGTGATCAAGCGGTAGGACCCGGCGTGAGTAAATGAGTTGGTTCATTATCCCATTTTCTCCGCGGCACGTATGTGATATTGTTGTTGTTGTTGTTTTTTTTTTTAAATGCTCTTTTCCAGATTTCTCCCGTTTCTTCGGCCGTGATGGTGCTGCTGTGTGCGCTCCCATCTCAGGCCAGCAACACTGGAGGGCTGCAAGAATGGGAGGGACCAGAGTGACAGTGAGCCTGCTGGTTAAAGAGACAGAGCAGGGATGCAGTCACCCCTCACCTGATTACAGGTCCAGGCTGTATTTGCTGGTTGTGAAACTGAACCGTGAAAGCTTATTTTCATACTTTAATTTAAGATGATAAGGGATTGTTAGAGCTCTGTTAAACACGGCACATGTGGGTATTTTCTTTATCTCACTGTAGTTGAGTCATTGCTGTGTCTGATCCACTTTGTGTCCACAAAGTGTACGTTCTGGTAGCAACACATAGCCAGCAAATGATTTGTTACTGGCTCATAGTAAAAACTACAATTTTAACATATTCTTTCAAATGTATAAAGAAGCAGTACGCTACAACAATATTTCCATTGTAAAATTATTTTTTTAATTATTAATAAAGGTAATTCAGCATATTACTCCTTCTGGATTGCTTTAAAAACATGTGGTTCTACCTGTCAGGTAGGTGCTACAAATCATGCAAGTGTGCTGTTGGTATATTTAACCAAATGCTGCCACCCAGTGGAGTAATATTATATATGTGTGATTTCTTTTTTCTTTTCTTTTTTTTTTAAAACACAACTTAAACTTATACGACTATTTTTCAGTTTAGGAAAGCTACACTGATATATATAATATATATATATATACACAATTGACTGGAATTGCATAAAACTAAATATTGATCATGTAAGAATGCATTTAACTAGAATGGAAAAACAGACACAATTCAAATACTATATTATTTTATTTACCTGAAACCACAACCTCAGTAATGCATCTACAATCATTATTCATCCTCAATAATGATCGTCTTTTTACACATGGTTAATATTGTTCTTCGACCAGGAGTTACTGAGGGGACTGCACAGGCCCCCTCACATTAGATCACAGTTTTACAGCAGTTGATAAGGATACATGATAATAATAATAATGCAGAGGCTATATGAAAACAGGAGAACACTGTTGTATTGCAGGATAACCAGTCTGTAGTCCTCATTTCAAAAGGACTAATTCATCAGAATGTAAATGGTTCAGTGATCGGCCCACAGCAGTTAACAGGGAGGGGATTAAAAATCAAACTCAAGTAGAGCACAGTCAGGTTCAGCATGAGTCACTTCTCATTGTCTAATATTGTGCAAATTACCCAAACCGTTACAATAAAAACAGTGATTTCCCAATATCTACGATATATATCCATCTTAAAACCATCTTAATATGTCATTGGAGTATTATACATTAGAATCTATAAATACAAATTGCAAAGCCTACATACAGCTGAAACGCATGCATGATTTTTGTACACTGATGTACAGCTAAGACCATTCAACCCAGTGGTTTCAAAGATTCTCTACGCTACCATGAAAGTTGGAAACAAATTCTTCATGCAAGAAGGGACGTTGAGGGTGTCGAGAACTTCCCTGCACACAAAACTGGAATAGTGTCATATTGATATAGCATCTGCACACAGAGGTATAATTGTGTTCATGTGTTGTGGTGCATGGGGCCAAGGACCTATGTTTCCAGCCCAACCACTTTATATAGTATACACCCTTACGTATTTGGTCTTATTACTGTGAAAACATGTCCTTTTTTTTTTTGTCGGTGCAAAGGTACACACACTGCTGGTCATCATGGTGTCTGAGGTGTGTGAGGTTAGAGTGAGCACACATGCTGGATGGTAGGACAACTCCAGCCTCTGAGCCCACTCTTTAAGTTTTATGAAGCTTTTTATGAGAGCCAACCTAAAAAGGGAGAGAAAAATGACGTTAGTACAAAACAATTAAAAACTCCATGACCAATTTACATTTCAAAAAATGTACATTTTTCTGTGATGTGATCAAGAGTAGGTATCGGTTTCGTGAATATAAGCAAGTGTCAGGGTGGTGAAAAGAAGAGCACACAGTGACATTCACAATGGTGGCATGTGGTCAACATCAAGGCCAAGTTTCCCTGGTTTTCTTTAAGAATTGGCAACCCATAATCATTCCCTAGCATACCTGACAGGTAGATTAACATTTAAAACTTCTTTTATTTCCCTGATGTCTTAAGTTGCCTGTAGAACATAATTTCCCAAAAGGTTTCTCTAAAAAGAAAAAAAACTCAAAACATCTCAGCTGTGTCCTTGTTTTATCAGATTCTACTGTGGCGATGTGGCATCTATTAGAGTATGTATGAAGACAAATGGATACTCACTCTAGTGACAGGGGAGCCAATGGAAGGCATTGAGGAAGAAAGCACACAGTTGTTAAGTGGAACACAAACACACCCAGGCTTCTACCCCGAAAAAACACATGCTTTAGACAGGGGTTTTTCTCACACTTGCAAATTTCCATACAAAAGGATTCTCAGGATTAGTGCAGTTGACTGGGCTCTGACCCAACACGTATACACTACCACAAAGTATGGTATGCCCAACACAAACTAAGATCTTCAAATATTAAAGCCTGCAAGTCAAATTCACACAAGATCTGTCCCACTGTGTTGTGAATATCTCCTTCCCGTCATGTTGTGCCAAGAAAACTGAAGCATTCATATGTCTGAAATGATTTGTATTCAAGTATAATGCACATACAAAAACACTGGATATGAATAATGTTGATAACCATTGGCCTCAATCTATTAAATAAAGACAGAAAACACTTTGATTCAAAGGTTTCAAAAGTGTATTTTTCCTTGAAGTAAAAAACAACATTTTGGGTTCTTATTTGCAATCCAAGTTCAAGTTGGAGTATTTGTATTAGTATTTTTTCCTTAAGACTTTAATATTACTGTCCTTTGAATCAAACGCCATGGAGATGGTAATTAACATACATCATCCCCAACCAGTTCTGTCTCCAGAGCAAAACACAAATAAAGTTAATGAATGTCAATCAATACAAACAATATATATCCTTAAAAGTGTTAGAGTGAAGGAAGTTTGTGTTCTTGGTTTTCTGCACAAGCAAATAGGGGCACACCTCAGATGTTACGCTCTAGCAAGACCATAGAGGAAAAGCATCTAGAGATGAGCAAAAACATTTCTTTTATCATATTGAGGTAGCTGTGCTCTGCCCAGTGCAGAAAAACTGGCTTATTTTCAAATCATGATAGTAAAAAAAAAAAAAAACAAAACATCCATGAAGTTAATTTATACTCTAACAATGGGGGGTGGGAGGGGGGGCAGGATACACAGTTAAATTAGAAATGAGAATCCACATACAGTTCATGCTTGGTCACAGGACATGCGGCTTTTCTTTTTCAGGATTTTTTTTTTTTCTTTTGTTTAAGCGGAGCATTCAAACGTTCACTCCCAAACCTTTCCCCATCCTCGTCTGCCACATGGAGGTGGTCTTCTCTGAAAGAGTTCTGAGTTTATACTGAAGACACAATGGTAAACATTAGAAAATAAATCAAGGCGGTATGTCTAAGCCACACTGGTCAAACAATTTACAGAGCCATTAAAAAAAAATTTTTGCATAAAATAGTGTTCATTCTCTGTACAAATCAATTAATTTCTGATATCTTAAATTTTCTTTTCATGAAGAGGGAATCTAAGCAAAACAATCTCCTGTTACTGTAGTGACATGAGACAAAAAATATTCCCAAAATCATTAAAAATATAAACCTCAAAGGCAATATTGACATTAACAAAAAAAAAAAAAAAAAAAAAATGGCAACAGTATATTTTCTTTCAAACCAGCAACGAAGTCCACAGCTATAGGAGTGATGGTCTTCTAACACTCGCATTTAAAGCCTCACCCATTCACAAAATCCTATCCCAACTCAAAACAGGTGACTTCTCAATGTTAACATTTTATATTATTTGTTACGTTTCGTATGTTAAAGTTGGTCCTTCTCATACACACACGGTAGGCACGCACAAGCACACACACTAACTCTACAAACGCGCACACACACTAGCTATGCACATGTGGGAAGGCAGAGAGGGAGAGGAAAGAGTGAAGTGATGGCAGTGGGGTGGGGGGGATGGGTGGGGGGGGGGGGATGGAAAAGTCGAGGTTGTGCTCAAGTCAGTCAGGACCAGAACATGTCGGCCATGTTAGTGTCGGAGCTGTAGATCCAGAGGACCAAGGGGAGGGAAATGGCCACGAAGGGCCAGGAGATGCCCTCCATACATGCAGACAGGGAGCAGCCTTTGGAGCCGGCAGGCTTCTCCAAGTCTTTACCGGGCTCCAGGTAGTTTCTGGCGGCAAACTTGAGAAACTCGTCCAGTAGAATGACAGGCAGCGAGATCTTGAGCACCATCAGCCACTGTGTCAGATTCAGAGGGGTGATCTGGAAGATGATCTGAAAAGAAGCATAAAAGACAAAAGTCACATTGTGGCTCAGCCTAAATGGTACATTTTTCCAATTTTGAGATACATCAGACTAAATCTCTAATTTAGCTTCATGGTTGACAGAGTTGTTGTATCATGATAACGCTTTTCACTCTGCATGTCCTCATTTCACAATACTACATTATGTGTCAAACTAAAAGACGTATTTCTCACTGGAAGAGGCTCCACATAGAGGATAAGGAAGTGAAGAGACATGGAGAGGCAGATGGCTCCCAGCAGCCACACGTTCTCCCAGGGAGGCATACGCAGCAGGGACTGGTTTTCTGACACACTGAGAGACAAGGACAAATGCACGTTTGTTAAAAATTCACTCAAGAGCCATTACTTCTAAGTACCACAATGTATGCATATTATCCCACATAAAACACATGGTTTGTGTGGAAGTGGAAGAGGAAATAAAGACCAGGATGTTGTAGCACAAACTTCAAGTAATACTAACAAAACAGAAGTTAGGTCCAAGCTCGTCATTCAGAGCCATATCTGGAAAAAATTTTTGTTTCTGCTGACTAAAGAGCAATCCTACTGAACACGTCGGACCTGCTGGAAGATACCTTGCTCACACTGACCTGTTTAGGGCATTGCACATCTCAATGGTGACCAGCACAGACAGGGCCATCGTCATAGGGTAAGGGGACTCAAACACCCTACAGTCCATATCCTGGAAGTCTGGATTCTCTGGAGCACACTGCAGGAAGTGGCTCTGTAAGAAGTGAAAAATGATTCAGTCATATCACTGTTTGTGGGGAAAAAAAAAAAACACAGAGCAAACAGCAGATGGATTTAAATTTTGCATTCACGTGTGTTAAGTTAATAGTTGTTTGGATGTAGTTCATACCAGCTGGTAAAAGGTAATCCTTGGTCCATCCTCAGCAGCAACAAACCACCAGGCAGCAGCACCGACAGTGGCAGCACCCACATAACCTGATGATGCAGACCAAAAAGATGTCTTTCAAACATGCACACAATGACACAGATGCCTGGTTACTTGAACCGGAGAAGACAGCAAACTGTAATTACATGTGAGCGCTTTTGTGACTACCTACATTAACTGTACGTTCACATCATGCTAATGTGGTAGATTTGAGCTAACAAATTGCTAGTTTTTGTGCTGGTTACGTGGCACTGCCAGGACATTAAACCAGAAGCCCTACTGTATGACTACAAGCTGATGGTTGATGCTTCCTAAAGTTTTCTGCCAATTATGTAGAAACAATCAAGGAAACATCAGAACATCTGCAGGCATTACTCATTAAATACCAGTTCTTTTCCCTTAAATCACTTGTTGAATCCGCATAGTAAAAAATAGGAAAAACTAGATTCAGGTGTCACAGGCAGCACACAATCTGTCACACTCTGTCCTTCCACAATAATGATCCAAATTTCCCCTCTTACATCCAATGGCTAGGTATCTGAAGAAGAGCCATCCAGAGATGAGGGGCTCGCGAGCGTTGCGTGGGGGTTTGTTCATGATGTCCAAGTCTGGCGGGTTGAAGCCCAATGCGGTGGCAGGCAAGCCGTCAGTCACCAGGTTGACCCAGAGCAGCTGAACAGGGATGAGAGCTTCAGGGAAGCCCAGAGCCGCAGTCAGGAAGATACTACATACAAAAGAAGCATGATGTACGTCAGTGGGATTGTTATTTATACGGGGAATGGAGTGTGTTTATATAAACCAGCCATCCTTACCAGACAACTTCGCCCACATTTGAAGAGATGAGGTATCTGATGAACTGTTTCATGTTGTTATAAATGGCTCTGCCTTCCTCGACTGCAGCTACAATGGTGGCAAAGTTGTCATCAGCCAGCACCATCTCAGAGGCGGTCTTGGCCACAGCTGTGCCTGAGCCCATGGCAATACCAATCTCAGCCTTCTTTAGAGCAGGAGCGTCGTTTACTCCGTCACCAGTCTGAGGGGGGAGTGAAAACCAGGTCAGGAAGTGATAAATAATGTTAATGTTTTAGAGGCGATTATCAATGACAAAAAAGCATGTCCCTTTTCTTACCATAGCTGTAATCTCATCATAGGACTGCAGGTACTCCACAATCTTGGATTTATGTGAAGGCTCAACACGAGCAAAGCAGCGGGCCTTGACCACAGCTTCTCTTTGTGCAGCAGGTGACAGATCATCAAACTCTCGGCCAGTGAAAGCCATGCTGGAGACGTCATCCTCCTCACCGAAAATACCAATACGTCTGCAGATAGCCACTGCCGTTCCTAAAGTACAGATGAGGGAACATTATTTACTTCTTAAGGCTTCCTGGAATTCAAGTGTGTAAATTAATCTTGAATTAACACTGTGCAGAAACTATAATGATATGTGCCAGTCAAATTTTATTCTCTGCGCAGATGTGACTCTCTCTACATACCCTTGTTGTCTCCAGTGATCATAATTACTCGGATGCCAGCAAGACGGCAGAGTCTAATAGAGGCTGCCACCTCTGCTCTGGGAGGATCCAGCATGCCCACACAGCCGACAAACGTCAGATCAGTCTGGATGATAACAAAGAGAAATAATTGCATCTTAACAAAATCACACCACTGAGGAACCTAGAAACCAAAAGCAGAATCCAGCCAAATCAATCTTTCCAAGCTCTTACCTCATACTCAATAAAGCGGGTGGAGTCCTCTAACACCAGTTCATCTTTGCTCATGGGGTTGTCTCGGGTGGCCAGAGCCAGACAGCGCAAGGTGTCCCTGCCAGTTCCATATTCTCTGATGACAGACATTAGTTTTTCCTTGATGCCGGGGGTCAAGGGCACCTTGTTACTGCCAACCCGGACATGTGTGCACCTGTCAATCACTCCCTCAGGAGCACCCTAAAAGCAATCAAAGAAAGGAGAATAAGGACAAATGAAAAGAAAGGACATAACAGTCTGTAAGAGAAACTCTTTCAACAAGAAAAACTTTGTTAAATATTTTGCAAAAATCTGAGGAACCCCCCCCCCCTTTTTTTTTTTTAAATTGTCCATCATGATTATCATTATAGTACTATCAGGTTAGTGAGAAGGTTAATTTTAATAATAACAATATCTAGTGACACCTGTAATGTCATGTTTTGTGTGTCACAACCTTGGACGATTCAAACTCTACATTAAGTCTCACTGTGACTATTTCTTACCTTTACAAACATCTTGCCAACAGAGGAGCGGGCTTTATTAGGAGTGCAGTACACAGACATGGACTTCCGGTCTCTGGAAAACTCCAAGGTAAACTCTTTCTTCATCAGCTGCTTGATGACCTGAAGATACGATAAAACACAACTGCAATGAGCATCTTCAAAGAGGAGGTGAAAAATGTGTAAGCACAGTTTTCATAACAAGGAAATGACTTTAAAGAACTGAAGGTTACATACAGAATTACAGGCGTTAGCTCGCTCAATCTTGGAAAGGCCTTTAACATCTGTATCAAACACGTTCATCTTCTCCACCAGGCATGTGAGAGCTGTCTCTGTGGCCTCACCGACCTTCTCATACACACCTTTGGTCTGGACAGACACACAGACACACAGAGAGAGAGAAATGGTCAATCTTCATCCGCAAATGTCAGGTGAAAAACATGTCAGGTGTTGCCAAGGATTGTGTACCAATTAACATTGAAAAATCTTCACCACTAACCTCGTTATAGTCCAATGAGGAATCATTACAGAGAGCACAGATAGAGGCCAGCTCCACCAAGGCATCATACTGGGAACATTTGACTGGTTTTGCATCATGGTACCTAAACAAAAGATGGATGTAGAAAAGAAGCAACTAGTCAGCCAACTGTGCAGTGGTATACATTAAAAACTAATTTTCACCATATCTTAGAATAATATCTTCTAAGTAGTATGAGATTGATGAATTTTATTATTAATACATTATTTTCACTTTAAAAAGGAAACAGGCTGAAGACACTGAATACTCACACTTCTCCATCTGGGGCATATGTGGAGCCTGTGACAGTGAATTCCTTTAAGGAACAGTGCTCGCCCTCTGCTCGGTCAATGATAAACATCTAGAAACACAAAAATTGTAGAGACAAACTATTAGTACTTAATACTGATACTACACCCCTACTGTATCTGTGGGTAAATACCTCTGGATTAAATGAACAGGAAAAAGCTGAGAGGCTGAGGGACATTGCTTTCAGCAGGTGGCAGCAGACTACCATCCAAAAGAAACCTTCACATCATGAGTCCACTTGAACATAGAGCAGGGTATAACAATGAAATGCTGAGCCAAAGCAGACACTGAGAACTCTGGTGGGGAAGGTCCATAAATGTCATGTTACAGCAAGGCAGACACAGAGTTCCTCATGAATACACTCTATATAAAGTGAATCATACGAAGGCGGAAATAGTTTGACCATGAGTATCAAAACCTTTGCGTAAGGACAGTAGTTACAGTCTCTGGTTTATTAAGGTCCTTTAGAAAATTCATTCAAAAACTGTTTTAGTGGAGATGCACATAGTAGAATGAGAATTTTTACAGATATGGGAAACCATGACCAAGTTTAACATGTGAGAGGAAAAAAACCCAATCGAGGTTTTGAAGTTAGACAGCATTAGGGATGTTAGATATGCAGAAGAAATCATATTGCAATTATTTTGGCAGATATTGCAATTACGATTTCAGTTGGAATGGTTGTTTTTGCATTTCATTTTCACTGAAAAAAAATTTAAGAATGATGATGATGGGATTTTTGTTACTCTTGTACCAAAAAACCATGTTTACATGTTTTGGTACGTCTGGAGAATTTGATTTGTAGGCTGGGGCGTCTCTGTAGCACCACAATGCTTATTGTGCTATCAATGCACAGCAATGTTGTGACACATTTTACCTTTATCAAAAAAAAATGCAGCTCCTGCAATTTGGATATTGCACCTGGCCATATTGCGATTTCGATTATATTTCGATTAAATGTGCAGCCCTAGACAGCATGAGAATTCTTACCTCAGCTGTCAGATGTTGTAATTCACTCATACGTAACAGATTCTTACATCTAAAGCAATTCATTTTCCCAAAATTGAGAGTCAGGACAGAGATGTTGCAGATGCATCAAGCACAGGTTTCTCTATCAGTGACTGACAAATGACCAGGAATAGCATCCAACTGGTTTCCAAAATGAAACCTTTCAAAATTGCTAAACATAATTTTCAATTAAAAAAAAAAAGTAAAGGAAGAGTAAAGGAAGACCAGACAGACAGCAGAGAGAGCGAGAGAGAATCTTTCAACACAAGGTCAGTTATGCAACTCTAATGCTGGTTCTGCTGCAAGTGACTAACTACTGCATACTGATCAGCATGCTGCCTGAGCAAGAAGGGGGAGGAGAGTGGAATGAGGAGGGAAGAAAGGAGGAGGGAAACAGAGGAACAACAAGATAAAAGGCTGACGAATAGTACTGAGGAAGATGGTGGGACAGAGCAGGAGAGAGAAGTATGATGAACAAAAAATTAAGAGATGCTAACAGGAACAAAGGAGCTTACACCAACAGGGAAATCATATATACTTTGCAAGTCTTACATGGTCAGTAAATAGATAATAGTTCATATACCCTAAGGTTATTCATGCTCATATGGGATGAGAAAGTAAATGTATACACACAGCATGTAGTTTTGGATTTTACTTAATGTCTGCCTATGTACAACTAAATCTTTCATTATCCGTTATTAGCTATTCAGTGTCAGCAATGCTCACTGCCCAGTAAATCCCTAATGTCAGCAAAAGGCTTTCAGGGTTACTTCATTGCTCACTGAAAGTTTACACTTGAAAAGTTCTCAGATGTCAGGAAAGTAGCCAGCCTTTGCCCTTTCCATCTACGGCAATGGTTTTAAAAATCTCCACAAGGTGCAAAGCAGAGCTTGTCACTGCTAATTGTACTGTTTTTCCTGAGGAGGATGTAGACAAGCCACACGCTGCCTCATTGACACATGGTGCTGACACCATTTTGTGGCCATAACAACTTAAATACTAATTGTTGGGTTCATTAAAATTTTGGGACCTACAAACAGATCACAGGTCACAGACCAAGAAATTTTTTGAGACCTAGCATTTAGCGATGGATCACTCAGTTTAATTTTAATCACAATAACAGTATTTCTCTGTGTGGACCAGTTATGAGAGCATCATTGTCAAATGATCTGAAATCGTCTGCTTACACAACCAGATCTAAGGCAGCATGAACTGTGATGATGGGTAATTTACAAAACTTGTGTCATAAACCTCAGGATCAAGCAGGAGTATGATTACAATCATGAGTGGTGGGTTATTTTGGTCTAATAACTGATTTTTTCTTTAATGACACACGGCTGTTGTTATGTTTATATAATGTTATCAAGTTCATATGGTAGTTGAGCACTCTCACCTGTTGACATTCTGAAGAACAAACCTACCATGTAATGTCTTGACTCTACAAGGTAGAGAATAACATTTACACTGGTTACTATGAAACCAGTGTAAATGTTGTTAGATAAGCTAACAATGTGAAATTAATTTCCGGTGAACTGAGTTGACTGTTGAAGGTTAGTGAGGCGACTTTAAATGACTGTTTTCAATAGCAACAATAGTCTGTAAGGTAAATATGGGAAATAAGGGGGGTAGATATAGGATTTCAGATTCCCTCTTAATTTAAATAAATAGATAACCATAAACCTATGCGATACAAATTAGATGAATATTTCATTTTGAAATTGCCAGGTGCAATTCACTTGAATTGTTCATGAGAGGACTGCGAGAGACTTGGCTGACAACATGTTTGCTGTTCGAACATCAGTCAAGTGAAGAGGTGATGACAAGATCTCCTTTCCAGTTGAAATGTTCTTTAACTTTACATCTTAGCTTAATTTGTTGAAGCTTTGAATTATTTATTAACATCTTGTTCTAAATGCAGATTTCTGACCGGTTACCCCACAGACTATGATTCCCCAAGCTAGCAGGCTAGGTTGGCTCCTTCACATTGCAGTGTGTGTGTGTGTGTGTGTGTGTGTGTGTGTGTGTGTGTGTGTGTGTGTGTGTGTGTGTGTGTGTGTGTGTATATATACATTATTAATTAATAAATGAAATTCACAAAATGAGATGTTTCTGGTTTCTTCTGTCTCAGTCATTGTTGACCGTTCTCTTACCCTGCACACAGACATCTGATTGGTGGTCAGTGTGCCGGTCTTGTCAGAGCAGATGACAGATGTACAGCCAAGGGTCTCCACAGAGGGCAAACTGCGGACAATGGCATTCTTCTTGGCCATGCGGCGTGTTCCTAACGCCAGGCAAGTAGTGATGACAGCAGGCAGACCTGGAGAGAAACATCAACATAAACACAGAGGAAAAGAGAGGGATTAAGACATACATGAGAGATAAATGGTTACAGAAAAAAATGGAGACATCCATTTATATTCATTTACTCAAGTGGTGAAACTATCCTTAGTCACTGTAGCATGAAGTATTGAAAAATAGCCCAGATTATAGGATTTTCCAACCAACTGTTCCAGCAGTCTGAATAGCAGCACAATATTGGGAGTCTCACAGCACAAATAGCATGTTAAGGACATATCTGCATTTGTGCAGCTCTCCAGCTTACCCTCAGGGATAGCAGCAACTGCCAGAGCCACAGCGATCTTGAAGTAGTAGACAGCGCCTCGAATCCAGGAGCCTCCATGGACAGGATCGTTGAAATGTCCAATATTGATGATCCACACAGCAATACAGATCAGTGAAATAACCTTGAATCATACATTAGTTTAAATTTAAAATCACATTAATAGTTATCAATTAATCATAATTAAAATCAACATTATATATTCTGAGCAACCAGAAATAGCTGAGTACAAAAAGGCAAGAAACAACAGTGAGAGAGAACTTCACAAATAACCTTAGATAGTTGCTGTCCGAATTCATCCAGCTTTTGCTGCAGTGGTGTGCGCTCCTGCTCTGTTGATGCCATCTCATCTCGGATTTTGCCAATCTCTGTGTTGCCACCTGTGGCCACCACCACACCAACAGCTTTACCAGCTGCAATGTTGGTGCCCTGTGAAGGAGTAGTGAAAAGCAGTAGAGACAGACAGTAGAGTAGATAGTAGAGAACAAACATGTCATGCATTAAGCTTCTGGGCATATGAGTGAAAGTAGTTAAACAACTTTGAGATGTGTCACAGAAGACACACACACACACACACACACACACACACACACACACACACACACACACACACACACACACACACAGGATTCAACATGCAGCAAGAATCAACATGCAGCAAGAGTTAATGCATCACTTTCTTAAATTAATTGTAGAGACAAGTGAAAGGGGTCATGGCAATGTATTTCAATTTTTGCCTGGAAGCAAATTTGACAATTTCTTTTGTAGATGAAGGTGCACATAATTAAAATCCTTTCAACAAATAAAAAAAACAAACTGCTGAGGACTTTTATCTGTCTAGACATGAACTGTTTTGTACTTTTCATTCATGTGTAAGACAGAAAAAGCAGGGACGTAATTGGATAATTCAGTATTTCCCCAGAAGTGCTGTTATCTTAAAATAGCAAAAAAAAGTAGATGTGAGAAGGAGGGATATAAAACAAATAGGAGGAAGATGACGACAGCAAAACATTGTTGCCCTTATAGGTGTTGCCAGGCTCAGAGAAAAGATGAAAAGAGCAAGGATTTAAAAAAAAAAAAAACAAAAACAACAAAGTGTAAAATGAGACGAACAGCCAAAAATGGTCTTGTGAGTCACTCACAGAAAAGAGCATGTTCTTCTTGTCCTGGTTGACAGCACGAGGGTCAGGCACCGGGTCAGTGTGTTTGATCACAGACACCGACTCTCCTGCAGGAAGAGGAAACAAAAGATATGAGAGAGGTAAGCAGTGGGAGAGTTCCTACGCAGGAGAGTAAATTGGTAGCTGTGATGCTTGGCTGACACTTTGGGCAGATGTGTGGAAAAGTCTTTGCAGCTGACTGAACAGGCCTGACAATTATCAAATGCTGCACTGCCACTGCCTTTCAAACCCCATATCTGATGGTGTGTTTGTGTGTGTAATCAACTGTGCAAGGTCTGCACTGTTCTGACAGAGTAAGGCAGGGAGCATTTGACAGGCCGTATGGCCATGAATGGGGAGAGGAAGAGAGGAGAAAAATAGCTGAAACACTAAAATATCCCATGGAATTTGCTACCAATTAAGGCAGCAGAGCAAGACAAGAGATTTAAGGACTTGATTCACATAAACCTCTTCTTTCATGCATTATCCACCACCCAGTGTTCTCCCCTTATTTTCCATTTACCTCACTGCCCAATTATCCATCATGACTACAGGTTATAAAGAAGGCAATGCACCATTAATTGCTGCTTCTTATTTTGCTACTTCTGGGTTGATCAGAAGAGGCGAGTTGTTGCAGAGGCAGGCCAATAAATAATGTACAAGTAATACATGTTTACATAAGTAAGCTAAAAAGGAAGAACTTCAAGGACAGTATTATGTAAACATACAGAATGCAAAATTATAATGGCAACTGACTGAAACTCACATAGACAAAGGAGCTTTAGGAAATTTAGAAACAGTTTTACCTGTAAGAATAGATTGGTCTACCCTCAGCGTGGTTGACTTGATAGAAGACAGCCTGATGTCTGCAGGCACTTTGTCCCCAACTGTGGACAGAAACAGCAAAGCAGAGGAGACATGTAAGTACTTCTTCACAACTTAAAATCATCTGTAAATGAAACAAGACCACAGGTGTATACATACCTTGTGTAACTGGATTAAGTTAATTTTAAAGTTGTACAAACACAGTTGTAATAGCAAATAAAAAAGCAGAGTGGTGTCATGTAAATGTCCCACATGTTAAAAAAAAAAAAAAAAAAAAAAAAACATCCTCTAAAATTAGCGCACTGTATAATGAAAAGAGAAAATACTTAAGATAAAAGCAATAAACAAAAATCACCACACAGACACTTAAGTCTTGGAAATAAAATCTACTGCTGTGTAATCCCAGCTCATCCCCCTATGGGAGTAATAAAATAATCAAACTCAAGTTTTTTGTTCGGGAGAGGCTGAGAGAGTGTCATGCATTCAAAAATTAATGTTCCACTCATCTCCTGTACGGGACACAAATAGATTGCTGCTCATTCTTTCCACTAACACAAGGCTTTAGCAATCCCTAGTAAAACAAATGTAAAATGTAGATATATAGCAGATCCCAAACAAGTGCTTCCTTTGCAGAAAGAAGATAAGTACCATTAAAGCCAGTGACTTTTAATAGCTTTGCTGTAAAGGGTATCTTTTTGGCTCCTTTGTATGGTTTTTACATGCAGTTAAGGCCTGATGTGAGCTGATAAAAAGTGCAGATAAGGATGATTGAAGAAAAAAAGTATTTAAAATTCAGGCCATATTCTGCACTCTTTTCAGCTTTCAAATTAATTTTTTTTGTTAAAAAAGTAAGATCCATGATGAAGAATGAAAAATATTACCTGAGAATATGTCTTGTCTAGTAATGATGTTCTCTGTACAATACTGTACTATTACAGTAAGACTATGGGCCAGCTATGGTTCCCTATGGCACCCAAAATTGAGGGCTAACATTTTAATAAAATTTGAAAACACAACGAAAAATGACAAAGTTGCATCAAAATGAAATGTTACTTTTAGCTTACAGTAAGACATCACATAGCTTCAAAGGGTGGTGGTAAAAGCAATATAAAGCAATGACCCAGAGGCTCTTAAGAGATCCCTCTGTGGACAGTGGAAAGTGGTGACAGACATGTAAACCAACCCATGGGCCTCTGCAGTGCCCCTCTGAGTAGAGAGTAAGAGATGAGGGGAGAAAGAGAGAAGAGAATGGGAAGAGAGATCAGATGAGTACTGCAAAACACACGTCCAAAAATGGGAAAACTATTTTGATCAGTTGCAAACATGTGCTGTTGGATTTGGGGGAGGGGGAATGATAAAAAACTTCTGTTTTAAGCAAGGAGAACCCGCTTCATGTCATATGAATTGAAATAGAAACAGTATGACATGTCCTTGTGTATGTACTGTTCATTCATTCCCACCATTATCATAAGTTTTAGACAGCTCTTATCCATTAATACAGAGACTGAAGTGGGGAAATTCTACACAAAAATTATGTAACCAATGAAACAGTATTGTTTCACATTTATTGCTTCTATGCCAATAATTAAAAAATTGATCTTATTACTGTAACATGTAGTAATGCTGAGTTCAGGGTGAGTGATGCTTCTGGACTGTACCAGCTGCACTACCAAATATAGTCCTCCAGTTGAATAGAGGCTGTCAAAACCACTTCATCATCACCTGTCTGCCTTCAAACTAGATCCTCCTTTAACACACAGGAGATAGTGGAGGAGATGAACAAGCATAGCATGAGGGAGGACACAAAGGAGATGAGGACCTGTATTTGCTGGTAATATTAAAGACTCAAAGCCCTGTGGGACTGTTCCTCCAACGTGTCACTAATTAGAAAACCTCATACCTTGAAGAAATAGTGAAACACCTCCCAATTTACCACCCATCATTGTATACTGTGAATAAGATCAGAGCATAGTTTGGCTGCAAGAAGACATTAAAATTAAATGTACTTTCTTTGGAATAATGAACCTACTACATTACAAACAGCAAATCATAAAATGGCCGGTAACAATTACATAAGCATAAGCTGCAATTATTAATTCATTTGAAATTACTGTTGCTGTTTATTAATGTTGCTACAAATCGTTTTAACAAAATAAACAAATACAGTTATTCAGCAATTATCTTCAGAACTTTGCTGCAGGGGGATTTGCAGCTGTTTCAACTAAGAGTGACGTTATCTTTCCTTTCATCTTACAGAACATGCCCTTTTTAGCTCCTATTTTTCTGGGAAAGAGTGGACAGCCTCCGGGATAGGACCTTTCCTTCTCCCATGTGAATAAAGGATTTTCTCTGTTATCTGTTCCCTTGGGTGATGGACAAATGTCAGGCTGCATAAACTTAAATGATAGCACTTCATCAGTTGGTAAAGTCCACTTCATACCCTTTCCAGGCCAGGGTCTAAATCCCTTCTTTTCCCTCTTTATCCTGACCATGGTCTAAACCCCTCCCCTGATATGACTGATGGTATAGTCATAACTCTTGTGATAAATCTCTGTAAATGTGAACTGCAGAAGACAACTATCCCATACAACAAAGGCTAAGGTCAACTCAACATCATAACATGGAACAGTCTGCATTTTAAATCTGGATTTGAGTTATAGCACAGACAGCACAATGCCTTACTGTACATCATGGGGGGTCCAGTGAAACTTTAGAGGTCTTAAGGGGGTTGTATATTTTCTCTCAGTGATTGAGGCTCTCTGATGTGCTAGCACGTAGACTTGCAGCCTTCTGGGATCTTTCATAAAGCCCTCTCCCACTCTTATGAATGGAAAAATTACAAGACCAAACTTTAACATGCACAAACATACATGACACTGTGCATGCAATGTAACTCCAATGTAATAATGGAGCAATACCTTGAACATGTGAGAGGCAGAGAAAAGTTGAATAGACAGGCAGCAGATGACGTACAGAGACAAACAGCATGGGTGTTGACAATAGACAGATCATCCTACACTGTTAAACATAAGAAAGGAAATCTGGCCACGTGGCCATCTGGAACACAAATTATTTATCGAATTGAATCTGTACCCTTTCTAAATGTTACATCCTGTCTTGCTGCCCCCCTAACCCCCCGAGGCCTGGACAAAACAAGATAAACTACAAACCAGGAAGAGCTGAGCTGATCAGTCTTACATGTAATACACATCTGAGTCAAATACAACCAGCAAGAGTGAATCAAAGGGAGAGAAAGAAAGTGAGAAAGACAGGACATGGTTTTATTCCTTGTGCACAGGATGCTGTTGATACAGGAGTCAAGGTCTTGACTTTAGCAACTAAGAACCTCTTGTCAATTATGGCATTGCAAGCTGAAACAAAAGCAAGCCAAAAGAGAGCAGAGAAGCAAAGAATTGTCACTGTTGCCTCCGTGGAGTGCTGGGAGTCAATTAAACCAGTAGAATCACTTAGGGGTTTTAATGAAACCTCACAATAGTCAAGAGATAGTGTATGAATGGCTCTACTGAGGGACAGTGAGTCACAATTATGTGGGCTGCGCAAGACAGAAAAGCAAGGCGTAACAGGACAAGCAGGAAAGCCAAGAACCTTCACTCTGAAAGTGAGGTGTGGAAAAAAAAAAAGAAAATACATTTTTGGCTTTTGGCAAGTACATGAAGGTTAAACTCATGATACCTGACTGTTATAAGACCTATCAAATTCCTGCCAGTTAAGCAGAGCAACCCTTTCTGACATTCAATGGTCAGAAATTTTTGCATTTTGCGAAGAAAGTTCAGAAGATTTCATACTGACATCAGGCATACATTAAGCAACAAAAACATTATGGAGAGTGGGTGAATTCTATTTAGGTCTTTTTTAAATTCAAGATTATGCATAATTTCCTCTCCGCCCATAGACTGATGTATTCAAGGCCGGAAATAAAAGCGTATTTCTTTTGGCAAGGCAGCCCCTTTTTCAGAAGTAGTAGCCCATTTCCCCTACAAACAGCTACAGGAAACCCTGCTCTAATGTCATTTTTTTTTGACTGATAGTGTCTTCAATCAAAAAAGGAAGTGGAAACCAACTGGAATAAATGACAGCTTATGAGAAGATCAACATGTATAGTTGTAAGTGTGTCTTAACCAAAGAAGGACACCTCCTTGTTAGCTCAAAGTATCTAATGAGCTATTAGCTGCAGCAATCTGGTCAGAACCCTCGATTTTATGGTTTCAGTGTATGGTTTCACACTTACCCTTAGGGTTGAAGGGTTTTTTTTTTTTTTTACCCCTTTTTTTTTACCAAAATTAGCACGTATTTTCCATGTTTTTATACATTAGTAAACCTGTTAAAAAAAGGCTATTGACTCCTTTCCCATTGCCGTTTTCCTAGTGTGTCATATTCAATATCACAAACACGCCATAGAGTAGGGTTAGTGACCAACAGAAAGCAGAAGGGAGTGACTATGTTACGGCAGTTCCTTTTTATGTCTTTCAATTCACTCTCATCAAACTCAAGCAAACTGAACAATGTTTGAGCGCTGCTTAAACTGATGGATAGAATTTGTGGCTGCAATTCCCATAGACTGTAAAAAAACAAAACAATAAATGCTCCTGGCTCTTCACGCACCAATGTCCAGAACATCAACACACATCATAGAAAAATCATAGAATTCCACCCAGGTGTTACGGTTCCATCACTATCAATCACCGCCGGAGCCCGTGACTCCTGAAGAGTCATTTGGCGAATTTGAGAATGAATGTGACTGTCTAATTGTATCATGTCGTTAAAATGTCCATATATAAGCTACCATGACATAGGACTATCACTTTTTATTCAAAATTCGGCATTCAAATTAATTCAGCGAATTGCAGGTCATTTCAATTTTTTTTCAATCTTGATTGTTTTAAAAAGTGACAGCCCTACCATGACATTGCAGCAATTAATATTCTAAACCCCAGCTGCACATTCATCCTTGACCTGCCTACAGTAAAACAGTGTCTCGGTGTTTTGTGATAAGTTGCTACAGAACCTTTATCAACAGCAATGTTAGGTGTTGCTTTACACCTAATATGTGAATTAGGTTATAGCTTTAGCTAAATTCAAACTCAACAGGATGTTAAATTTTGCTAAAACATAAAATTAGTATGGTATAGAATTAGAATGCACCAAAGGATACCATATTGACATCTCATCTAAAAATATTTTCTCTTAAAAGGTGACCATTAAATGACCACTTGCTACAACTGGCAGCTCAGAACTCTTCCACTGATACAAAAAGGAGGCAGGCGTTTCACTTGATACGCTGCCCACAAAATCAGATAAAGCAAACGGTGGTCATTGATACCCGTTTTATTCTGCACCAAAACAAACTGTTTGTGCAACACAGCCAAAACACTGAAATGTGACAAGTAAGCAAATACTGTAGGGAAAACATGTTGCAGAAGAACATCTTTGTTAGCATGGAAGACAAGAGGGTGCATGTAGAAGTGGACACAACTTTCACTGTGTCCAAAGATAGGACTGTGTGTATTTCACACACTCGGCACACAGATGTCTACTGACCACTTAACAACAATTGCCCTGATGGAGCATCTAAGGTGGCGACAGCAAAATTATCAGAGCTCTAGATCTAAAAGTACTTGAAGGATATAAACCATATGCCTTGTCTGACAAGACACTTTGCAGCCTGGCATTACACAGCCCCCATGCTGCAACTTGCTGGTCAACTGGTTGGTTGTCCTGCCACGGCTAATACAAACACATGCACTCACAGCTCTTTGGCTAAGTAAACGAAACTATGCAAGCTCCTGTAGAAACTGCTCATTTCAGTTTGTGACAGATCCATACTGTGCAACTAAAATCTGTTAATCCACTCCATCCTCATTACTTATGTGATCTCAGAGGCCCATCTATCAGCTTTAAGACCATATTTATGCAAACAGCTTGCTACCGCAGACAGTAAATCACATCCTATAACTGTGTATATAAAGGATGCAGAGCAGTTTGTTTGATTCAGATACTTTCCAACTAAAACATCACAGTTGGCACATTGAATGGCCTGTGTGATAAACGTTGCTACAACACAAAACAGTGGTTCTACTTGGATTATAACATAAAACAATGTCTGAAGTGTTATCATGAATGTTAAGTGCAACAGTCTGTGCTGAGATCAAGTCCTGTCAGAGGGGAACAAAAGGAGGAGGCTATAGTGGCCACATGATCACTGAGATTGGCAAACAGAAGCATCAAAAGCTGAGCATCAAATCATCAATCAGATTTCATTGATTCTGCTTCCATTTCTGATTCTTGTCTAACCCTGGTTCAGATTACTGTTATATTATTGGAGTAAAAAAAAAAAGAAATTAGTCTGAAAAGGTTCTTATCTTTTGGTAAAAAAAATAAAACAAAAGATATCCCCTATTATATTTTGCCATGCATAAGTTCATTGTTTTACATTTGCTTTTTCTTGAGGCTTTCTCTGTTATTTTATACAGTATTTACATTTTTGCTGTATGGTCACTGTACAGTATTTTGTGATGATTAACTGAAGTTTAGCACTAGCTCTCATCTGCAAGCTCCAATATTGTAAACACTGATGCAGACCAAAGCACAGTAGGTCCTTGTTTTAGAGCGGCTTTAATTTGTAATTTCTGGTTATTTGTTGGAGGCTAAAATGAGGTTTTGACCTCACTGATACCTTGTGTCTTCATTTAAAAATAAGCGTGTACTTTTATACAAGATCATTTTGTCTTAAGTCCTGCACTTATATTCTCAAAAAACAAGTTAGTATGAGCATTAACAAGAGAACTTGAGCTTGCTCAAGCTACACTGAAAATTTTTATTACTCAAGAGAGCGTAATACGGCGATGACTCTGAAAGGCACTGGAACGCTGAGGGTAAATCCATAAACCTTTCTTTTAGCTTTAGACAAATATTTAAAGAGAAAATATATTAAATTTTTCTGTGACCCTTGTCTACTAACAGTTTCTTTGTGAGAAAGAAAATAGAAAGCTACATCATTAACAGACACAGAGAAAGACTGAATGAAAGACAACCAAAGAAATGTAAGAGGGATCAAAGACAGAGAGCGGCCATTAAGAAACAAAGATCAGTAAGAAAACACAGAAACCAAGAGAAATGAGGAGCAGTGACGCAAAAGGCATAAACATATGTGGCCCAGTCCAAGTTGAGGTTAGCCAAGAAATGTTCAGGAACAGATTGGACCTCTGCTCTTGTATTGCATAACTGCTTTACTTACTATGCGTTACCATTATTCTGAAATTGTCATGGGAGTTGAACAGGATGAGACATCAGCTGTGTGTGTGTGTGTTTAGACTGTGTGAAGAGTACGTCATAACACTATTGATGGTGTTTACAAAATTGATGACCAATGTTATCTCTTAGTGTAACCAATAGCATCTGCGTGTTGAAAAACATCAATTCAATAAGCAATAATCTATAATAAATCTGACATTTCTTTAAATTGACAAATTTTTAAATGTGACTTCTCTAATCTGATTTTGTTGTTGACCTATTTTCTCCTGTCGTAATAACTCTCATGGAAGTGAGAACATTTGGCATATTAGAATGAAACCTGTCTGAATGCATTCCTGTTTTTTTCCATCTTACCTGCCACCTCAACAATGTCTCCAGGTACAATGTCCCGGGCCTTGATTCTCTGGACGCTCTTCCTATCCTGGCGGTACACCTTCCCCATCTCTGGCTCATACTCCTTTAGTGCTTCAATGGCATTTTCTGCATTTCGCTCCTGAACAGTAGAGAAGGATTAAGTTAAAGGATTAATTCACACAGAGAGTAAATGAAAAAAAAAAAAAAAACAGAATTTATAAGGGTGTGCGATTTGACGATTTAATATTGTATCGATTTTGAAGACGTCCACAATTTACATTATTACATCTCTTCATAGAGATTGTAACATTTTGCCATTGTACCAACTGTATTCGGTCGACCCTCATGACATGGATCCATGCTATGTTCACTACCCAATGGTGTCATTGCCTACTAGATGGCTGTGCAGTCTTCTCAGATGTGTTGTTACAGCTAAAGCACAATTATTCAAAATAGACTTAAAAGAGTTAACTTAGCCCAATCTTTACATAAGCAATGTGACAAATAAAAAATAAACTAAGTGCAAATCATGATGTGGTTATAGACAGTGGAGCAAATTCATGTAAACATTGGGACATGTTACAAAAGGCTAAGAACTGAAAAAAGGAAGACAGCTTTTGCCTCAGTTTTCTTTTCAGATGTGAAAAATATTGTTTGGACTTATGCTAACGTTGGACTTTTGTTTACTTTAAGCACTGGTATAAGTAAATATAAGTATAAGTCCCATAAGACTTCAACGCCATTCTTTCTGTTTTGTCCAAATGTTCCCTTCTTGCCTGCTCAGTTCCTTCCTGAATCATTCCTCACTTGCACTTTTATGTTAGTGCTGACTTCTCCTTGCCTGACTGAGTGCTCTCAGATTGGACAGGTTTAGTGGCAGCTCCCAGCCCAGCTGGCAGGCAGCACTCACCTAGACATGGCAAGACAGGGTAACACACCCCAGGACATTGTGGTCTTTTGTAAGGGATAGCAACTGGGACATGAAGCCATTAAAATGGCTGCCAGCAAAGGTGAGGGTTTACAAGGTTAAGAGGAAGCTAGAGAGGGCATGGAAAACTACACTTGCTTTAAATTCAATGAAACTAATTTCAAAACAGGCAGAGTCATGTCAATGACAACAAAAAAAGCAACAGGATTTGTTGCATTAACAAAGGCGGACAACCAGCTACTTAACAACTCCCCATTTACACAAGCCTCAGCAGGACCTTAAACAAGCATTTAATTAACAGGACAATCCAGCTGAGGCCCACCCAACCTACGAGGTATCTTTGATCAACTATACCAGGTGTGATTTGCAATCATGGGGATTGTTATTCAAAAGAGTTTATTAGACATTTATCCCAAAAAACACTTAAACAAACAAAGATGCACTTTGGATCTACGACAAGGGCAAGAAAAATAGACTTGAACAAGACCTAGAGCCCTCAATCTTTCAGCTCTGACTCCATGGGCGAAATTAACTCATTTGCAGATATTAACCGCAAGATACAGTGGTGCCCGTAGATATTTAGGAATATGTACATAAATGCTAGGTAAAAGTATGGTAAGATGTATGTGAAATAAACAAGAAACCAGTGACACATCATGTCTGACAGGGGAATGTCTATAAAATAATTGGCAATACATCAAAAACAAAATACAAGGAAAGTATCAGGTAATTAAAATATGGCTGCTTTAATAATTTGATTTAGTATCTTTACTCGTGTTAGTGGGTCTAATACATGAAGGACCCTCTAGAAACTTATTTAATCCATATAATTGCAAATCTCTTCTACTGTGTTAAAATGCCATGGGATCACCTCAGAATCCACATCCCCTACTCTAATATACACATATTACACAAAGGAATTGGTGCAGAGGGCCATGCTGCCTCCAAGACAACTTGACATGCCAGTCAATGTCTAACAGGAACATGCCCATCACAGTATTGTTCATCCCATTCCCTAGTGTGACATCCCAAGTATACAGTCAATCAATTCTGCCGAGAGCCGTTTTTGGGTGCATTAATCTAGACTAGCCCTCCACAAGGCATGTGCAAGGAGTTGGTGCACCTATCTATCATAACTAACTCTGGAATAGCACACTGTTCTGGGGCCATTTTGCATTTGATCAGCATGGGTGCCAGTCTAAAAAAAAAAAGGATAATTAGTTTTTCTCTGTGTCCAGATAAGTGCCTCCATCCACGACTGTTGCTGCCTTTGCTTCCTGCCTATAATTAAGGTGTATGTTGACAAATCAATACTGCCTCTCAAAGGAACTGACACTGTAAATCCTGGGGGAAAGCCAGGGCTCAGCAGGCACATGTGAACATGGAGGCACTGGAACTGCATCTTTTTTGTTTCACCCTTGCAGACCAAATGTTTTCTTGCTCAGTCAAAGGGCAAAAGCTAGTGTTTCTCTGAAAAGGTATGCTAATGAACAGGGATCAGAATATATCAAGTGAGGGGGAAGTGGAGCACGCCTGGCTTCCAATGTGACTGTGTCTTTACCCTGAAGATCCAATAGGATATATGCTGTACCCTTGGCCTGAATGAGAAATGTTGCATTTCAAATTTCTGCCTTTCATGATTAAAAAAATGATTATAAGCTTTTCTAGTGCACTTTTCTTTGCATAGCATTATTTTCCCCTTTCAGTAAGAATCCTCATCCTATAGAGCTTGCACATTCCCAACACACTTTTGGTGACAACTATCAAACTGGAGGAAGAAGTCATGCAGAGATACGCTTATAAAGTTAACATGTGTTTACCTGCCAGACTCCTACAATGGCATTTGCTATGAGAATAAGTAGGATAACAAAAGGCTCCACAAAGGCTGTAACGGTTTCTTCTCCCTCTTCAAACCAGGCCAGCACCTAAACACAAAACACAGAAAAAGAAATTAACAATCAAATATATTAGTGATAACAATTAATACTGAAATGTGAGACACAGGGAGCACTGAAGTCCTGACCTAAGGTAACACTGGCTGCAGCTCCAAATCACAACCAGAAATTAATACTCCCACTCGCTGGATAACCACGCCAAGAGGTGTTTACAGAGGATAACAGTTTGAACAGTTATTTGGTGTGGTCACATAATTTTTATTGCACGATAAAATACAGTTCTCTTAAGCAATGCAAAACTTTACAGACTTTGAAAATTGAATTGTGGTGCTCAATTTCCATGGAATATGACATTCTCGCTACTGAATCAGAATACACAGGATTTTCAAAATCACCACAATATGTAATAGATAATATCAGGGTGGCCAACCACTTTACGTCATCCACATGAATGGAACAAACAGGAGGTAGAAAGGTCAAAGCTATTTTCAACTTGTGTATTAAGTGGTGTTGGACAACTAGTTCTCCCAGTGTAGTTTTTGTCATCAGTCTTGTCTGACACAATATCCCACAACGTTTATGTATAAAAAGTATTACATAAGAACTGTAAATTAGTAAATGTATGCTCATTTCTGTAGGATTCTATATCATGTCATGATCAAAACTGACTGTACTCTGTAGTTCACAGAATGTGATGCAAACACAGTATAGTGAAGCATGCCAGAATGTAACAGATTGAACTGACATTCTTGCAGTGACGCTAGAATAGTTGTGTACACAATGATATAAGCTTCAGGCAGCTCTGATTCCAATGTACAGGCACTTTTCTATAGTATTTTTGTAATGATACATTGCCACTCACTTGCTGGACAATGTTGATTATCAAGTTTGTTTTGGTAAGAAAATTGTATTTACTTCCTCCCAGTGGCTTTACCACACACCTAGCTAGTAGGTGAAGTTGTGTCAGGACCTCACATTAACATTTACATATCTGGAATAATGATTTTAAGCATCTAACTCAAGCCAGCCTCTGCCAGTATTGCAGAAACTGAGGCCAGTATGTTAGAAAGGCATGTCAGAAATACTGATAATGTAGTAACCACTTTCTCCTCTTTTGGAATCTGTGCCAGGAGTGAATTGTGTCAACCAAAATCCCAATGGCCCCCCATCTTCTACTCAACAACCTATTTAAGCATGGCCAATCAAATGTCAAATTCAATTTTAAGTGTCCATTGCACTAAATAATTTATGTCCCAACCATCAGTTCCCGGCCAAGTGAATATAAAGTCTAAACAAATGTTGGTATACAACTTTGTAGTTGAAATGTTGTCACACTGAAATAGATGGAAATGTGTCTGCATGTGCGATTGAGAGCGTGTTGCTTACTACAACCACTGATTTATAAGCTTTGCAACCATAGCTGGCTGTCATCACCATGCCTCGAGAGTAGAAATAGGGCCACAGGATAGTGAACCTGACTCTGTGTCACACAAAAACTGCACTTGAGATTGCCACTCAGTGGTGAGAAGAACATATATATCTCAATTTTTTTCTGTTCATTTATGGATCTGTGATTTTGTATTCACAACAACATGAACACTGGACATCAAAGTAATAGTGAGACTTGTAATAAGAGTTTTAGTCATCTCTAAAGTGCAATGGCAAATTAACACCAGGAAATTCAATCATCAGAGCTTTCACTCTTAGACATAGCATGCTGCTCATTCCAACCACAAGCCACATAAACACTGAACATGCTAAAGTGACACAATCTGTTTCCAGTGTAACATGTCAGCATTCAACTGTGGACTTTTCTATTATTGACATGTAAATGTAATATCTACAAAACAACAGGCTAAAAGAAGCTGCAATGATTTAAGATTTTCTTCAAGAGCAAAAGCAGTAATGCACCAACATATAATACATTAAGACAGAATCATAAAAAAGTTAATCTGGGTTGTGTCACCAGACAGATTCTGGGCGCCTTTCTCCTCCACTTTGAACAGCATTCTTGCTAAACTGCAATCGGCACTCAATCAATCAGCAAAAGACTATATACACTTTGTAGGCTGACAGAGCTGTACACAGAAAAAAAACGACAGTGGACTCATCAATGTAAGGGTGAAAAGAAAGATGGTAGAGGAGATGAAGATGGACAATGTTCAAATGGCAGAGGGCCAAGTTTGACTGTTTTTCCCCTCCACACTAAAGGAAATTAAGCAGGTTCTTCTATTTATCTCAGAGTGAATTAACCTTTCATTACTCTAGCACTAAAATACTTACATACTATCTATACTTAACTCATCTTGAGTTGAGTGTTGAGTGTGACAACCTGCTCACAGACTTTTACTACTAATCTCTTTATCTTGATAATGTAGTAAAGGAAGTATAGGACTTATGTTTTACCAGAAGTAGCTCTACCTCAAACATATCAGTTGAATGAATACTGAACAGCCACTCTTACACAAATATGTTATACTTACAAAGGATATGCAGGCAGCAAGTAAAAGGATCCTCACAAGCAAGTCTTCAAATTGTTCAATCACCAGTTCCCAAAGGGACTTACCTAGAAGACAAGAGATAAATTCAAGCAAAAAAAACAAAATATTAAAGAGATTCAACACATAAACAGGTGGCTTCTTGCATGTATATACAATTGTCCACTCACCCTCCTCAGCTGGCAGTTCTGTAAGATCATCCCATCCACACCCCCACCGAAAGAGAAATTGACAATTAATTAAATGTTACTACTTAAAATAATAGCATGCTGTTGTAGCAGTGGTGAAGCACAACAACACAGATACATAATGTAATAGAGGATTTTGTGTTGAGTCACAAAAATGATGCTCTCCAATATTTCAACATACAGACCATGACGTCAACAACGTTTCTTTTTACTCTGCATGTCGCCCGTTACAAATCTAAAGCCATGGCCCATTCATAGGCTACATGACACTGTGGGGAATACAGCTACTTGTTTTTCAACAAACTGACGTTAACCAGCCCCTTACCGTTTGGTCCATATCGTTCCCGTTGTTTCTTCACTTGATCTAAACTCAGACCTGTGCTTTCATTCACGTTAAAAAAGCTGTAAACTTCTTCAACCGTCTTTGTGTGTGCGTTGTCCATGGTGAACGGCCACTTGAGGACACCGCTTGTTTCGTCCTGCTGGTCCCAACCTCAACCTGTCGTGGTTCTCTCCTTTTTTTTGGTGCCAACCCGTGATTTAAGACAAAATACTTGAAAATATTCGAGTGGGGGCCCACGGGGTTGATTGTTATCGGCTTGTTAGGTGTAACACCGGGGAGCGCGGCGTGCAGGTGTCTGGCGAGAGTGGACGGATTAGCGGCTCCTGAGCTAACGGTAGCTAACAGGCTAAAGCTAGCTAACTGTTGGGTTCCTCTGGCTCTGCTTGAATTCGCCGGCTGTGCTCTGCTAGCTTTCCCGCGAGACCTTTAACAAATAATTCATATCACCATCGCCGTCTCAGTTGGCTGTCTTAATGTCTTCCTCTTTTTTTAAAACAGCAAATTCCGGACTAAATCTATCCAAATAGATGGTTTAAACATGTGGCTGAGTTACTGCTTGGTTCCCTTCGCCCGCTCTGCCTGTGTATTGCGGAATCACCAGCGTCCTCATCGGCACCAATCGCGTTTGTCCGCTGCAGTTCTCGCGTACGTCGAATGCGGTGTTCAGTGTCCGCATGTGGAACCACCTCATTGGTTGGACATACCGGAAATCCTACTCTCTCTCTTTCTCTCTCCACAACGATAGTGTGTTCGTGGTGTGAGTGGTGTCATACATTTAAATGCCACATTACATTTATATTTTTATATTTTCAACACAATTTCCAAATACTAACTAAAGCAAAGTATGCTATCCAGTTTGTGCATCTACAAAAGTGTAAAGTAAGAAATGATGGTGATGTAGAATGATTGTAAACTCATCTTTCAATATATCTTACCAGAAATGAAATTAAAAAGTATAGTTTCTCCTTCATCAAAAATATCTCTGCTCTGCTCTTTTCAATGAACACAGTATCACTAACATAGTGATACTGTGTGACAAACAAGTCTGTCTTATAAGATAGCCCTCTACTTAGAAACTATCTTGTAGAAATCTACTTTTTTGAAAGTGAAACAAGACAAACCAAAAAAAAAAACAAGGCATATGAATAATTGATGTGACTGTGTGTATAGTTCCTATGTTGATGGGGTGTGGGCAGGTTTAGGCTTAAAGGCTTAAATTATTACATTTTACCCCAATTCATAACAAATTAATGGTTTGGCCACTGTTCTGTTCTGTTGCACATATTCCTTTCTACTTTGTTTATAACGTGAAATATTCTTTAACCTGTTCTATTTTGAGTGAGAGTGACAGGTAAATGAGGATACAATTTTAGATTTATGTTAATAAATCCCTTCTTTCCCCCAGAAAATGCTTTCAACCTACAGTCTTCCACCCCTGCAGACATCACCTTTATTATCTTTGTCAGAGTTATTGGAGGTGTCTGTGAAAAAGACCATTCTCTGTTAGACTTACAGAGTAACCTGGCTTGTGTAATAACACAGTCAGCCTTATCATTTGCTCTCTGGCCTTTTATCAAGAATGTATCTGTTAAATTAGTCCTTTAAAGTTGTCTTGATACTGTAGAGTTTAATTGAGCACTGACATATCTTTCTTTTTTGCACCAGAATGTAACCATAGTTTCGAGAAAGAGATACACATATACATACACAATGAGATCAGACAGAAATACTTTATCCTATAGCAAACAGAAGGAATTCAGGTAAAATCTAAATCCCTAGAGACAATGAGATAGCTTCTTTGTGAGAGGTTTTGCAGCCTACAGTATCTGCTGTCTATCTGAAACTCAAGTTATTTTCAGACACTGTGATTAATGTGTGCAGACTCCTGTTCATTGACAAGGAAAAAAAATCCTCTGCAACTACTCAGACACACAGTAGCTTGAGATAAGAATGACAAAATTTTAATGGCAATGGCAACAAACAATTACTTACTTCAACAAATCTCATGTCTTAAAGGACAATTATTAGTTTTTTCATAGTTACTACAGTAATATCAGTTGTAGTGCTTAAATAACAAAAAGCATGCGAAAATAAATGCTTTTGCCATATAAAAAAAATAGTTGACATAAGAATGCAGACAATTTTCATGTTCTTCCCACAGTGAACTTTATAAACATAACCTTAAATGTTAGTCACAAAAATGTTGGATGTTGCATTTCAAGATGTGCGAATGCATTTTTGGAAGCACATAATAAAAATCTAAAAAAATATATTACATTGTATATGATGTAACACAAACTGAAAAAAAGCTTAAGTACTTAAGTTACAGTAGGTTCTGTGGGTTAACTATTCTTACATCAACCAAAATAGAGGGTCAGGGCTGCTTCTGCTGCAACTGGATGAACATTCTATTATTGTGAATGACAAAATGGATCCAGTTTGAAAGCAGTGTTTCAAGCTGAATAGACACTTCACAGTCCAGCCTCATTTCACACAGTTCTAAAAACTGAATACAGTGTCTCAAATAGTAGAAGGCAGTCTGACAATACCGCTCTGATTCATTGTTAGTTCAGCCTAATTTTAATTATCATTCTGTAGAATTGAACTGTTGCTTGATACAGTAAATACAATTCATAATGTTTAAGAGCTGTGAACAATTGCTTCAAAAACTGTGATATTTTCTCCCCTTCAGTATAAGTCATATTCTGTTATTTGCTAATTAAGTTACTCCATTCCCCTTCCATTTGACATCTACAGTGTGTGATGTTTGTTTTGTTCAGCAGCTTATATAACTCAGCCAGCAGGGTATCAGCTTCCGCAGCTGTGGATTTCATTGCTAACAATGAGGATGGCTTTTAATTAATTTTTTTTTTTTGTTATATGTGGGGGCAGTATACAGGCGGTGAGTTTCTGTTCAATCTGATCAAGGTTCTGCCGTGCCTGATTTCTTGAAAGCACAGATTGCAATCAGTTCACACAGACAATGTAGAAATAAAGGTGAGTGTGAGCTTTGCAGTAGGTTTAGGTCTGTTTTTTAAAACCTATTTAATGGCTACATTTGAGGCCAGATCTCTCTCTTTGTAGACCAGAGAATCCTTTTTCAGATGGTTGCTGCTCATTTCTTTCTATCAGACTAAAGATGAGACAACTGAGGACAGTGAGGATGATAACAGTACTGGCTTTGTTTATGTCTGTCTCCAGGGGATGGATGAACATTTCTGCTTGTTCAGAAAATACTCCCATTAACATATTACATAAGGTTGTCTTGGTCAAAGAAAATAATTGATTTTTTTTCATCCACCAAGTCAAGAGACTTGTTTATCTTTTGAACCTTATTCTCGTGGCTTATTTTAGGACATCTGAATGGAGAAATACACATTTACAATTTTCATGTGCCAATTTAAAAAAAGATTCTGTCTACACTCAGTGATTTCATAGCTTTTTGATTTTGGAGATTTAACACTCACTCATGCCCCTGTTTGCTGCTGTCAAGGAAGTGAAGGCTATAAGCAATGAGATGATAATCTAACTTAAAAATACTTTTGTGTGTTTAATCCCCCAAAGCTTTATTACAAGTCTTGAGGAATCCCTGTTTCTCATTTAGAATCACCATCATCCAGTATGATTCCCATTTGTTAGAAAAAGGGGCACATGCCCTTTTCCCATAACAAGCCTATGTTTGGCATCGGGTTTTCAGCTGAAAACTAGCTGATCACCTTATAAGGTGCTATGAAAAGTGCAAGTGTGCATTCTAGGGCCATCCCAGGATGAGAAGGTTAAAGGTTTGGCCTCTTGGCAACCAGGCTTCCTCCTTGTTGTGGTGTCCTTGAGAAAGATATATAGAACTCTCTGCTCTGTAAGTGCTGAGCCTCTTTGCAAATTCAATGTTACCATCTATCCTCATGCATGACAGTTACATGAGTCACAGCACATTATGATAAGTGGCTACTGTAAATTGACACAGAAAGACTTCTTTATATGGTTTCAAAATGATGGTGGAAAGCATAGGCTATACATCATGTTTTGATCATGGTTTATACAAAACCGATATTTATCATAGTGTTTGCTTGCTTAAATTGTAGACTTTCAGGTGAAGCCTGGAACTATGATTTGAGCAAAAGTGAGGGGTCTATGTCAGTAGACACATGCAGTCAGCCAATAAAACAAGGTGATGGGTTTCAGAATATAACACAGTAAATTTTACTCTATATGGAAATTATTAAAACCAATTAAAGCTCAGCTTATGCTTGGCACAGACTATTTTGGCCTATTGAAAATCATCAAACATCAATTGTTCTTTAGGAAAACTAACATTAGGAAAACTACATAACATTTCATACAAGAGTTAGATAAGACAGCAAACCATAACCTAAAATAGGCCTACAACTTGGTGTCATTTGCATTTAAAAACATAATTTCCAAAGCAAGTGGATGACGCTTCTGTTTGTGTGATTTTACTGCACTCAAGTGGACAAAATTATTACTACATGCGGATTTTCCCTTAAATTCTCTATAATCTGCATTTGGATGAAATGGGTGCACTTTTCCCTAATGTTAATTCCTCTCTTGAATACAAACACATGGAACCATTATTATTACATGCTAAACTGAATTTTAGCCAGAGGAGTTCTCTGAGAATCTGCCATATTTCTTTTTTAGATTCTGCCAGTTTAATGGCACACCTACACCTACAACGCTTACAAAAGTAGATTCATCACTTGCCTACGAGATTTAATAAAAGATCAAATTAAAAAGAAACTTTGAAAGGTTTGAATTTTTCATATTTGGTGTTATGGATGTAAAATTTCGCATGTAAATAATAAGATGTAAAATGAAAGTCAACACTGCAGTCAACGAAGGTCATTACATTTTTAAATGGTTTAAATGGTTTTTACAGTCCTGTTATGACGTATGCAGAAAAAAAAACAGAACAAGGCAGGTCTCGCGATATTTACACGAGGGGTTAAAGTTGGTCGGGCCATGTGTGAGTGTGTTGCCGTACCTACCAAAGACTAGTTTGTACAGCTACAGTTTGAGCCTTATTCATACGTATTTATCTGTACAGATACTAACATTTGGCTTAGAAGGCTGACTTCACGTGTTTGGCAGATTATATATTTCGTACACGGATTCCTTAAAGATAGTTTTACCAAAATATCGTGTGCTGCTCTGCGTTAGCTTGGCTTCAGTTCAGCTGATATGACAGTTTGTATCTTTTAGTACAAGGATCTTCCGATGATGGCTTAACCCAACATGATAAAATCCCCATCACTGTTCAGTGCCTTAGTTATCCGCACATTGACGTTGAAGACAATCGGTAAGACAAACCTTTGGATGAGTCTCTTCCTGTGCTGTTTTGCCAGGATTTTTTTTTTTTTTTTTACCCTTGAGTTCGCTAGACTTCTCATGCTTCTCTAAAACTACTCATGTTTCTTGTTTAAATTTATGCAAGATGAGTCTCATATACTCTTACGTGGCGTTACTGTAGTAATGAGTGGTTGTAATGAGAACGGGATTTATGGTGTTATCTTCACAGGTATCCTTGATCGGTTCTGTTGCACGATGAGTGAAGGATCTAAAGATGAGCCCACAGCCAAGCTGATGAAAAGAGCCAATGAGGAAAATGAAGACTCTGCTGAGAGGGTGCAGGCTGCAAAAAGAATAAAAGCAGAGGGGGTACACGCTGAGGATGAAAAGAAATATCCTAAAAAGAAAGTGGTCCTCCTCATGGCATACTCTGGAAAGGGATACTATGGCATGCAGGTGGATGCTGTAGCTGGTCTCTCTCAGTTCAGTTCCAAGCACTTGATTTTCTTACACCATGCTAAATGTGACTGTTTTCTGTGTTGCAGAGAAATCCGGGAACCTCTCAGTTTAGGACCATTGAAGATGATCTGGTCGCTGCACTTGTAAAATCTGGTTGCATTCCTGAAAACCATGGTGATGAAATGAAGAAGATGTCTTTCCAAAGATGTGCCAGAACAGATAAGGTAAGGCTTTTGTACAGGTAGTACAGTGGGAATTCATTTCACAATGGGCAGCCTACAAGGAAGTTCTGAAGACAAATAAAATATCCACTCACCCGGTTCAGAGTTTTTCATCTTTGCATTGCCATGTTGTTGCTCAAGTTGCTAATGAACACAGTCATTCAGTTTGAATTATGCTTCCTAGAGGTTGCTTGTCAATTTCTTTTGTGACAAGTCTCATATAATGGGGGTAACTTCTATAATATATAAACTGTATGTTTTAATAAGCCATGCTAAGGGTTTGCATACATCATAAATACTGGTCATTATGACAAATGGTGATGTGTTTATTTATTCAAACTTGTTTAGGGTGTGTCTGCTGCTGGCCAAGTGGTGTCTCTAAAGGTGTGGCTGATTGAAGACCTCATTGAAAAAATCAATGAGCATCTGCCACCACAGATCAGAGTGCTCGGTGAGACATTGGTTCCACTTATCTCTTTCCATCTGCTGAATTATGTTCTGAATAACAAAACAAAGGACAGAATCTGTCATTGAGAAATTCATTTTTTACATTTCTTCCCACAGGTCTTAAACGAGTGACCCAGGGTTTCAATTCCAAAAACAACTGTGATGCTCGCACATACTCATATATGCTTCCAACAGTGGCCTTTTCCCCGAAAGACTATGACACAGGGAATATAGCAGCCTTTCGCTTGGAACCAGAGACACTACAGAGGGTCAACCGTCTGTTTGCTTTCTATAAAGGCACCCATAACTTCCATAACTACACTTCCCAGAAGGCTGCAAATGACCCTAGTGCCCGCCGCTACATCACAGAGATGTCCTGTGGAGAGCCTTTTATCCGCAGCAATTCTGAGTTTGCGGTGATCACTGTGCGAGGTCAGAGCTTTATGCTGCACCAAATCCGCAAGATGATTGGCCTGGTGATTGCGGTGATAAAGGGCTACGCGAAAGAAGAAGTGATGGAGCGGAGCTGGGGCCAGGAGAAGGTGGATGTTCCCAAAGCTCCAGGGTTGGGGCTGATCCTGGAAAGAGTTCATTTTGACCGGTACAGCAAACGCTTTGGAGGGGATGGGCTGCATGAGCGCCTGGAATGGGAGCGTGAGGAAGAGGCAATCAAGGCCTTTAAGGAGGCTCACATCTACCCCACCATTGTTGAGACAGAGCGTCAGGAAGGCTCCATGGTCAATTGGATGTCCACGCTTCCTATCCATGATTTTGAAGCCACCGCTACTGAAACACAAGACAATAAGGGCCACAAACAGGTATCTTGGAATTTATAACAGAGAAACAACATTAATTCAAAACATTAAAAATGTATTTTGTTACATATTCTAATTCATCATTGCCCTCTTTTTTTCTCCAGGATAATGCAGAAGAAGGAAACGACTCAGATTAGGTCACACTGCCTGCTGAAAGAAGAGACTCGCCAAAACAATCTCTTTCTGTTGCTGGGAATTAGCTTCCAAATAAGGTCTAAAAGTATATCTTCCAAGATTGACTTTTTTTAGTGGTTTTAAATTCTGTTTCTCTTATACAAATGTTATTAAACCCAAACAACAAGATAAAAGAAGCCTCTCTGTTCTTTATTCTCATGATTGTTTCTTATTGATCATGTCATTGTGAAAGCATTGTGAATGTCTGTTTTGTTTGTTTGATGAGCACTTCTGCAATTCATTTACATCTAAACAATAGGATGGACATTAGTGATCAGTAAATATAATAGTTGCCACTGCTGACTTGTCTCTCAGCACCAGTAGTTTTGGTAATTTACCAGTTTAAGTCTTTGTCTTGTAAAGTGCCCACTAAGTATAGGTTTGGATTCTCATGAGTCAGTCCGAGCTTGTCAGATCAAGTCGGTATCAATATTATCTAAACGCTTATGATCACATCAATAGGAGCGTTATTACGCACATAGGTATCTTTTCTATCTATTTGTTGATATTTTTGTCTTTTAAATCTGATTCCTAACAGTTCAATTATTTAAAACCTTAATGAATGAGAATTTCTTCGTGGCCAGAGGCCAGGGCCTGGACCAGAGCCTCTGTATATAGTGTTTGTTAAAATTTATTGTTGGAAAAGCAATCAAATGATACAAAGAGACAAAAAACAACTACAGAGAGACGCAAAATGGCTACAAAGAGACACGAGATAAATTCAGCGACACATGACTACAAAGAGACAAACTGACCATACAGACACCTGAAGAGATGCAAAACTGACTGCAAAGATAACTACAAAGAAAGACAAAATATTTATATTTGCAAGAGATGAAAAACAATCACAAATAGACAAAAATGAACTAATGTCATGCAATTTTAGTTTTTTCTATTTCAGTATTGCTTCTGTGTTTGAGGGGTGGATGGCGATTTTCTCATAATCTGCCCATGATTTTATAATATACAGCTATCAGTTACCTTAAATTCATGCTTTGATGTCACAGTAATGTGTTGATGGCATCAGCGTAGACTGTAGGTAAAATATGCTACACAGCTGTGCCCTAACAAAAGGGATTCTGAAGTGGTAATCATGCTAAAAGCTAAAACTTCAACCTCCAGTCACTAGGTGGCGATACAACAAATGTGTGGGTTGGTTCAATGTCGCATTCACGTCCATTGGGACGTACGGGACTAGAGTTTCCATCTTTCAGCTATAATTATCGTACTCCCGTGGCTGTGAGGTACAATAAAACATCTCAAGTATACATTTGATGTATAAAAAATATTTATACAATCTACTAAAATGTTGAGTTTAAATTCATAAGCAACCTTTCTAGAATGTGTGTCTTCTATGGTATTTGTAGTAATGTAGTTGAGGTAATTCGTATTCTTAAACTGTGACTTGAATGCAGCACCATTGAATCGAACATGGCGCCGGCCAAAAAACGCAACGTGAGTTCGGCAAAAACATCAGAAAAGGGTGTAAAAACAGCTAAAATCGACCTCAACAGCAAACTCGAGAGTATACTTGAGAACAGAAAACACGCAAACGATGTATTTGACATACTGGAGTTCCTTCAGGTAAATATACACAGCTACACATTTGAGTAACACAGCTGGACACATGCTGGTTAACTTAGCTAACGTTACAGGTTTTGCTTCTTTAGGCTACCAAAACATTACTCTGGATGTGTTTGTGTTCTACATGTCTATTTGCAGTCCGAAAAGGAGAAGGATGTTATCGGTGCTGTCAGTTCGTGCAGCAAATTGTTCTTCGCCATGTTGGAGAGGAAAGACCTGTTTATGGGGAAACTGCCCGGAGAGGATGAGGCGTTGAGTGGTGAGCACAGGCTGATTATCCTTTATAATGAACCCACTTATGAGATGTATGTGAGCATTTCCCCACCAGCACTGCTGTACCTTGAGATTGTCGGGATATCACATGAACCTGTAGCTGAAACTCTGAGTATATGACAAGATATTTAAGTCCTGTCATAAACATTGACATTTCATAATGGTAAAGGAAACTGCAAATCACAGCCTCATTGTGTTTGTCATTTCTTTTGTCTGGTCCAGGAGGATATAGTGCTGAGGAGAAGTACCGCATCTTCATGAGACACCGTTACAACAGTTGTGTGGAGATGCTGCTTGAGCACCTCAGCCATGAAGTTCACAGTGTCAAAGTGAGTCGACTGGTTTTCTAAATGGTTACAACTTTAGTACACGTTCACCAAAATACTTGGACAACAGAAGTGCTGCACAAAATAACAGCTCCTTCCCCACATGAATTAGTATTAATGTAAGTTTAAGTGACGGGATGTTTGGTAAGTTGAAGTATGCACTGTCATTTTCCTGTACTATTCATAATATAAAGACTAGGTGTGTTTATGCATGGGACAGATGAATTGCAGGCGCGATTAAGTACACTGGCATTACACACAAATACTTCTGCAACTTCACATTTATGCAACATGCAGTGGGTGTTACTAAACTGGTTTATTATTATTCCTGAGAGCCTTCAAAAGATTCTGTATCTCAAAGACCAATAGTTAGTGTGCAGTAGATTATTGGCTTTAAATTTGTATATTGCGATGACACAAAAGTCAAATCTTGTTACCAATCAACACTTAGTTGTTACCCTTCACTTGTTGTCTTTAAAAAAAAAAAAAAGTGGTTAACCATTATGCAGTCCTGTAAGTCAAGGTTTCTGTTTTTCTTGTCAATAACTGTCCAAACACAGGAGAGCGCCCTGTGCTGCCTGATGAAGTTTGCTGCAGGAGAAGGGCAGCATCCTCTCGAGGACTTGGACTGGAGTGAACACTACAGCTTCCCAAGGGAACTCATCCAGGTCGGATTATGTGCAATACGAAAAATTATATCTGATAACGATACTTTTATTAGTTCTGTTGTGCGACTTCAATAATTTACCTGCGCTTTTAGCCAAAGGCAGTTTTTAACATGCTTTTTGAAAGTTGGCACACGCATCTTCTGATATTTCTGTCTTATTTCATGGTCAGGCAGTGGTATACAGTCTGCTGTCCAAAACTACAGACAACTCCCTGCTGATTTCCAGGTTCCAGGAATTCCTCGAGATGGAGGATGTACGCTATTATGTCATGAGCTCCATCCGTGAGAATGTGGGCAAAGTCATGGACAAAAACAAAGGGGTAGGAGATCTCATCATAGCTCATCTGCTGTAGTTGTGCTCGTTTGTTGTTATCACATTAAAGATGCAGTTTTTTTATGGAGTAAATATCACTTTGTGTGCTGAATACTGTTGGCTTTTCTTCTTCTTAGGCAGTGGTGCCAATATACCAGAACAATGTGTTCACCCTTATGTCCAACATCAGTATGCCGAGCCAGGAGTCAGAGCTCACTAACTTTATGGTCAAACAGGAAGGTGAGAACTGCCTTGAAGTTCCCATAATGCCATAAGTAATTACAGTGTCAGTTTCCACTTTGTGTTAATACTTTTCAGGCAGAGTTAATTGTACATTCATTTTTTTTAATAAGTTATTAAAGCAATGGAATTGTTATTTTCAGCCAAGCATGAGGACTGGAAAGCTGCTAAACTGATTGTAAGTAAAATATTTTTAATCAGACCTTCACATTTCTGCTTGCGACTTAAATGTCACTGAATAAAATTTTAAACGTTCTACCTCATTACAGGAACACAAGCGTGTCTTTGAGAGGATGTGGCTCGGCTTTCTCAAGTATAAGGTAAATATCTAGACTGCACAATCATCATTTTTATTCTCTGTACACATCTATGACACTGTGCAATCAACACTATGCTTTGTCTCATGAATTTTTCACTTCTCTGTTGTAGTTGCCAAGCAGCATGTATAAAAAAGTCTTGGTGATCCTCCATGACTCCATTTTGCCCCACATGAGTAAACCTGCACTGATGATTGACTTCTTGACTGCTGCCTATGAAGTTGGTAAGTTGTGAATGTGCTTTAATCGTGACTCCATGTGAGCTAACAATGACTGCTTTAAAATAACCCTAAAGGCACTTTTCACACCTTATCTCCGAGATGTAATGTTTGGATAGGGTGATGGTAATCATGATATAATGATGTGTTGTCACATTCTCGTTGAATAGGTGGGGCAATCAGCCTGCTGGCTCTCAATGGCCTTTTTGTCCTCATACATCAACACAACCTGTGAGTATTATGCAAAATAAGTCTTCGGCCATTTTCAAATTCAGTAATAAGTCAAAGAAATCTGACCAAAAGACCAAGATATTTTTGAATTACGTTAATATTGTACGTTGTGTGTTTGTTTGTGTTTTTCAGGGATTATCCTGATTTCTACAAGAAGTTGTATAATCTGCTGGAGCCTTCTATTTTCCATGTGAAGTACAGAGCACGCTTTTTCCATTTAGCCAACCTCTTCCTTAGCTCCAGGTAAAATCACTCATGCTTCACAGTTTTTTAACCGCTGTTTATCTAGCTATAGCTGTCTGCATCTGTCCTCTTGTGGACAGGCATACAGTTGTAGTCAGTACTTATTGTAGATGACTTGATTGATTGCGACATTTCCCATTGCTTCCAACTATTCAAGATAATGACCATTAAAAACTCAAAAAGCATCTTCACTTAGTTAACTTATATGTGTTTGTTTGTGCTTGCCTCCAGTCACTTACCAGTGTACCTAGTGGCTGCCTTTGCCAAACGCCTGGCTCGTTTGGCTCTTACAGCACCACCTGCGGCCCTCCTCATAGTGCTGCCCTTCATCTACAACTTGATCCGTCGCCACCCGTCCTGCAGAGTCCTTATTCACAAGCCCAGCACAGAGGACGGTGAGAGTCAGCCTCTTTTGTGGTTTGGATTTCTCAACATTTGTAATTTTTTCTGTCTATAACAATATATGTGTATTTAGGAGAGTTTGTAAAAATCTTATTGTTTTGTACACTACAATCTTCCTCTACAATCCAAGAAGTAAGTAGATGTTTGTTTGTATTCATAATGACAGAGACTCTGGAGGACCCATATCTAATGGATGAAGAGGACCCTGTTCAGTGCTGTGCCTTAGAGAGCAGCTTGTGGGAAATTAAGGTGTGTATGTGATAGTTTAGGATTCACAAAATCTATCATCCATGACACTCATTACAATTGACT